TGAGTATTAATGTAAGTGAGTGAGTATGAATGTGAGTGAGTGAGTATAAATGTGAGTAGGTGGGTGAGTGCGTATTAATGTGAATGAGTGATTATTAATGTGAGTGAGTGAGTATGAATGTGAGTGAGTATTAATTTGAGTGAGTGAGTGAGTGAGTATTAATGTGAGTGAGTATTAATTTGAGTGAGTGAGTGAGTGAGTATTAATGTAAGTGAGTGAGTATGAATGTGAGTGAGTGAGTATAAATGTGAGTAGGTGGGTGAGTGAGTATGAATGTGAGTGAGTGAGTATGAATGTGAGTGAGTGCGTATTAATGTGAATGAGTGATTATTAATGTGAGTGAGTGAGTATGAATGTGAGTGAGTATTAATTTGAGTGAGTGAGTGAGTGAGTANAATGTGAGTGAGTATTAATTTGAGTGAGTGAGTGAGTGAGTATTAATGTAAGTGAGTGAGTATGAATGTGAGTGAGTGAGTATGAATGTGAGTGAGTGAGTGATTGAGTAGGAATGTGAGTGAGTGAGTGATTGAGTAGGAATGTGAGTGAGTGAGTGAGTGAGTATGAACGTGACTGAGTGAGTATGAATGTGAGTCAGTTAGAGAATAAATGAGTGAGTGAGTATGAATGTGAGTGAGTGAGCTAGCTGTTTAATTATATCATTTTGTCCCATGTGCATCAATAGCTTTGAAATAGCCGAAGCAGAAATGTTTATTCTTCATAATGCACCATGAGAAAGACATACCCTCAAGAACAATTTGTTAGTTGTACACGGGCTGTTTGATCATATTATTTTTGCTCCGTTTTGGACTAGCCGAAGCAGAAATCTGTATTCTTTGTAATGCACCATGAGCAACACAACTACCTAACCTCAAAAACAATGTTGTACACGGGTTGTTTGATTAGTCCTAGGCTACATTATTTTTCCCCGTGTGCATCAATAGTTTTGAAATAGCTGAAGCAGAAATCTGTATTCTTCATAATGCAACATGAGCAACACGACTAGTCTACCTCAAGAAAAATATAGTGCTGTTTCATTCTATTATTTTGTGCATCAATAGTTTTATATAGGCTCTGACCGTAAAATGATCTCCTAGTGACAGTTGCTTGTAATGCTTGCTGAGGACGATGAGCATCCTGGCCATGCTTGGAATGCAAGGCTTTTAACTTTGTGATAAAAGTTGGTGGGGACGCTCTAAGGACAGTGGCTGATGGACCTACATCTACTCAACCCGAATGCTTTCAATAGGGTTTACATTTTCCAAAAATGAGCTCAAACATATATTTATTGAATGCCTTCCTATTGTTGAGAACACAAGAGTATCACAATACACTGATATACCAGCTGAGATGCCAGCCTTTAGTGCATGATTTATAAAGGTCTCAAAAACATTAATATATAAAATATGACGAATAACAGCTGATACCGATACAACATCAATATATCATGCATCTCTAGTATGAACACAACTTCACATCCATCCATCCATCCATCGATCCATCCATCCATCCATCCATCCATCCATCCATCCATCCATCCATCCATCCATCCATCCAT